TTAAAATCTTACTTTGATATTCTTTTAAAAGTCAATTATCATTTTTCAAAACTGATTTTAATAAAACAGATATTATACTGTTTATTTAAAATATTTTGAACCAAGCTTAACTTAGCTTCTGCGCCGAAAAATGTAATTTGAAAATAAAACAAAGCAGGTCATAACCTTTCGCGTCGCTTGACGATTGACGAAAAAAAACATTCATGACGTTTAGATAACTTACGGGAGGAGAATTCTTTCTACGGATGGAAGGAAGTGAAATTATTTAAGTGAACAAATTATTTACCTTGTTACTTTTCAGGAAAACTTTCAGCGCTCTAATTTTTTTTTTTTTTATTTATTTATTTTTTTTTTTATACTTAGCTTTCATTTTTACGTTTACGATGCTTTATGGAAAATATAAAAAAAAATTAAAAATAAGACTGTTAATAGTGAGATTAAATTTCATAAGAAAAAGGTATCTAATTAATTTAGGTACCTTTCTTATGAAATTTTATCAGAAGTGTACATAAAATACTATAATTTTATGTACATTTATTACATTTTACTGTGTTATTTGTATTTCCATTCATTTTATTATTAATTTTGATATTTCATTTATGGAAAAATGTCATAACTGAGATTAATATAAAAATAAGATCATATAAATTAAAGTTTAGCAGTAGTTAAATTTCATAAGATGATACTGTTACTTGTAGGTACCCTTCTCAGTTGAAATTGAAAACTCAAATTAACTTCTCCATACGTGTTTCGCAAAAGTAAAGGGCTTAACAGCGGAGAACAATGCTGAACTCAAATAATGCAACTAAATTGTATTCTTGTTGGTCTTCCGTACTTGATAATTACTGTCCGACTATAAACACAAAAATTACATTTCTTAATTACCATGGCTAATCTGATTGGTCCAAATTATACAATTTTCGAAGCACTAGACAATGACAATCTCACACGGACATTTTGAAAGGCTGATGTTGCTTTTAACTAATGTTAAAATATTTTTTTAAATTCAATTCAAACATTTTTTAAAAATCTTTTTAAAATTAAAGAAATAAGAAATAATTGTATTAAAAATTCAATTTTCATTGGAAAAATTTTTTGCTTTCAGAAAATATTGTCCATATTCATAAAAACAAATTAAAACAAATAAAAGCATTTGAAACTAAATAATATATTTGTTTTATTGAGTCTTGTATGTTACAATTCACAGCTGATTTTCAGACGTTGGCCAAAAAAAAAATAAAAAAAAAACAAAAAAAAACATGATTTGCATTCTTCAAAGCCTTGTGCTTTTAACTATTGTAATCACTAAAACCGATGGTCTCGAATTTCTAGAGTTTTTCATAAAATTAATTATGGGGGTGTTAATAGATATAAAAAAAAATATTTCTGCCATGACTTTAATAAAAAAAAATTTATAATAATTTCGATCATCTGTGAATAGTTTCTGAAAGTTTCATTAACATCTGACAATTGTATTTTTATTTTTGCAAGATTTTCCAAATTAATGTGTGTAAATACAAAAAAATGCGCTAAAATTATCTATGTTATTTACTACCCTTGTTGCGACAAAGAGAAACAAGGTTTTTTAAATCAAAATTTAGAATATTCTAAAAAGATGGAAAAATTTTTTAAAATAATTAAAAAAAAAACCTTAGTCTATCCTCTTCATAAAAAAATAAGCATTTTGACGATAAAATTTTGTTTTCATAAAATTTGGCGTATTTTTCATCAGACTATGCTCTATGTTTTAGCGATTCCGTGGAGTGACTTAGGTTAAAAAACCAGGTTGTGTGTGTGTGTGTGTGTGTGTGTGTGTGTGTGTGTGTGTGTGTGTGTGTTTCCTTTATATATGGGATCGATTTCTTACATTTTTTCAGCCGATAAAACAAACATCCACTTTTTTTTCGGCAGGTAGTATTTCTTATTGTCTTGCACACTTTTTTCTTTATTTACATTCAGAATGCTTTAAAAATTCCATTTACAAGACAATTGGTTATAATAAAATTCTATTCACCAATCGATAGACTCAAAACGAATGTAAACAATGTTTTTGTTTGAATTTGGTTTTGACCAATTCGTAAAAAAAACAATAAAAAAACTAATTAAGACATGCGTGTCCGTCAACCTTAAACAATAATCTTTGTCAGTCTTTATTTGATCTATTCTTACTGTTACATCCCCACAACGTCTTTATGATGTGTTTGATAAGTTATTAATAGTGTGAAATTGAGTTTTTTTGTTTTTTCAGATGACATTCTATCAATTGTTATTCATTGTTGACTAATCCCCGGGCAACGCCGGGCTCTACTGCTAGTTATTTCTAAAATTCACTCTGAAGTCTTTCAGTTGGCAAATGGTGAATCTGTGGCCCTGATATTTTAAAGGGAAAGCAGTATCTATAAGGAGTGGCTATGGTTACATGTAAATAAGTAGCAGAACTCCCCAATAGAATTGGCAAATTTCATAATATACAGTAGAATCCCTGACAACCGGACTAAGAAGGCCTTCCAGATATATTAGTTAAAAAGTCCGGAATTGAGAGGTTATATTTAGATTCAAATAAAAGAGCTGAAATCAGGTTTAACATTTATTTTCAATGTTTTATAGTAAACAAAATAAGCTAATGGCGAGTGAAATATAACGGAATTGATTTTAAGGAAAAAGAAATAAATTATGTAATGTTAATGAAAATTCATTAAATTAGTTATGCCACGTATGAAAAAACAAATAATGTAACGGGGATTTTTTCATCTCCGTTGCATGATGATTCTTTCTCTTCTAATGTCATTCTCTACTTTTCCGCATTTCGTTTTGCTTTTGTTCTTGACGAAAGACACTTTTTAACTCTGCCTGCATTATTGCAATCGTCATAGCTGAATGCTGGCTTTCTTTCCATAAAACTGACAACCTTTTCTATAGCTTTTTCAATTTCAGTCCAGGTTTCATCCCAATCATGTTTTTTATTTCCTTGTTCATTGTGACAGTGTGGACGCTGGAGAATAGTTACTTTGGAAGATTTTATATCATACAATGTTGACTTTCCTATGTTGATCTTAGCCATTAGTTACAAAGAACTTTCACCAATGTCTAGTTTTAAAATTTCCATTTTTGCGATAACTCCAAAGTTGTTTTTTTATTCCCATCATCTTTTCCCAATCAAGCCATTTTGACCAATTATCAAGTAATTGTCCATAAACAGAAATTTCAAATCAGTTACATATCACCCAAATAGTTCAAATATATACATCATGTCCGGATTTGCGGGATTCCGGACATGAGGGGGATTCCGCCGGATATGAGGATTCTACTATATATATATATATATATATATATATATATATATATATATATATATATATATATATAAAAAAAACTCTATTGAATCTATTGCTAAGTCAGCTGCTAAGAAAATAGTATACACATAACACATCATAAGCATGAGGAATTCTACTGTACATCATTTAAAAGTGTAAAAACCTGTTGTAATTTAACATAAGTTTAAAACATTATATACTGTGTTGGAATCTAATTAAAATTGCTTGTTGTCGAGTGAATCTGAGATGCAGCGTTGGGGACCCTACTGAAGGATAGCCGATAAATGACTAGAATCCAAGGTCAACGTGCAATTCAACATATGCAGGCCTGTTTATTTTTAAAACAAAACGGGTGGATATTTGCTGACCACATGTACCATGAATCTAAACATCTTTTGGCTTTTTTTTTTTTTTTTTAAAGAGAAAGACTAAATTATACATCATTTAAAAGGATTAAAATGTTCGTAACTTTAGCATATGTTCGGTAGGGGGAAAAAAGCGTTCAAACCGCTTTCGACCCAATATGTAAATTTCAAAGACAATATTTAAATATTTTAACACAGATTTATTTAGCAACATATGTGTCATTATGTCTCACTATATTATGTCGTCTTCAATATTCTGTCCTTCCATACCCTGGCATATTTCTGATGAAATGATTTTTGTTTGTTTTTTACAGTGAGGGTCACTCTTTCCAAGGCCCGGGGGCCACTCGAGGTAGAGGGTTACGTTAGAACGCGATAACGATTAATCCTAGTCCTGGATAAATTAAGAGGGCAGAGATTCGCGGGAAAAGTGCTCGGGTGGAATTTACTTCTCACTGATGGAATACGGGGGAAATGTGGGCGTTTTGCTACTGTGTAAGTGGCATGGCGTGTTCATGACATGAAGGTTTGAACCAGGGAATGTAGTTCGTCCGAGCACTTTCCATGGAAGTAGCGTTAGAGCAGCGAGAGTCTTGCCACACCCTGCCTGTGGGAGAGGGGTGGAAGAGTGGAGAATAATTCATCACTCACAAGGACACGGAGACGCTTTCTAACTTTGTCAAAAAATTGGAGAGTAAGGTCTTAGCAGCTCCCGCTTAAATATGACAACAGAAGTCCATTTTTGGCCTGATCTGGCTCTTGAAAAGATAGAGGATAGGAGAAGGAAGAGTCAGGTACTTGCTGGTGCGGCAAGCGACCATTTTACAGTAGCTTTGGTGATGGATCGTATATATACGAGTTCCGTCTGAGGGCTGAAATCTCAAGAGGCGCTCAAGGAACGGGGTCTCCTATTAAGGTTGGGAAATGCCACTAGTACGCGGGGGGTTACAGAGAGTGAAAGTGAAAGAGCAGACTGAGAATATGGAGGATTGAGACAAAAGATGAATGTGGTTCAAGACAACAGAAGATGGCGATTGACGTTGCATTTATATTTTTGAAAATTGTAGTTATAAGGGAAGCAAATAAACGAAAGTGAGTTTCACAGGCGGGAAGTGCAAGAAAAAATTGTTGGAGTAGAAAATGGCGATTGCATTTAGCAATTTCAACAGTAAAACGGTGGGACCGAAAAGCCAATCTAGTAGCACGTGGCGAGAAGATAAACGCATAAATTCAATAGCAGAAACTTGAAAAATATTGAAGACAAGCATTAGATGCCTAGAATTATAAGACGAAAATATATCTCCATTTTAGCGCTACAAAAATGGTGTCTTTCTTTCCTCTCGCATCAGTTGCTTTCGATTTATCCCATTGTTTCTGTTTCCCTGAAGCAGACGATAAGTACACGATAGATTGCTTCCTTCCTTCCTTGATTCCTACCTTCCTTCCATTTATTTCACTGCAGAAGACAATAAGTAGAAGATAGCTTCTTTCTTTCTTTCTTTCCTTCTTTCTTTCTTTCTTTCTTTCTTTCTTTCTTTCTTATATTTCACTGTAGACGAAAAGTATCCGATAGCTTTATTCTTTCTTTCTTTCTTTCTTTCTTTCTTTCTTTCTTTTATTTCACTTTTTTATTATTTCTTTCTTTCTTTCTTTCTTTCTTTCTTTCTTTCTTTCTTTTTTCTTACTTTTACTGTAGACGAAAAGTACCCGATAGCTTTTATTATTTCTTTCTTTCTTTCTTTCTTTCTTTCTTTCTTTCTTTCTTTCTTTCTTTCTTTTATTTCACTGTAGACGAAAAGTACCCGATAGCTTTATTATTTCTTTCTTTCTTTCTTTCTTTCTTTCTTTCTTTCTTTCTTTCTTTCTTATATTTCACTGTAGACGAAAAGTATCCGATAGCTTTATTCTCTCTTTCTTTCTTTCTTTCTTTCTTTCTTTCTTTCTTTCTTTCTTTATTTCTTTCTTTCTTTCTTTCTTTCTTTCTTTTATTTCACTGTAGACGAAAAAAAGTATCCGATAGCTTTATTTCTTTCTTTCTTTCTTTCTTTCTTTCTTATATTTCACTGTTTCCGATAGCTTTATTCTTCTTTCTTTCTTTCTTTCTTTCTTTCTTTCTTTCCTTTCTTTCTTTTTCTTTTATTTCTGTAGACGAAAAGTACCCGATAGCTTTATTATTTCTTTCTTTCTTTCTTTCTTTCTTTCTTTCTTTCTTTCTTTCTTTTATTTCACTGTAGACGAAAAGTACCCGATAGCTTTATTATTTCTTTCTTTCTTTCTTTCTTTCTTTCTTTCTTTCTTTCTTTCACTGTAGACGATAAGTACCCGATAGCTTTATTCTTTCTTTCTTTCTTTCTTTCTTTCTTTCTTTCTTTCTTTCTTTCTTTCTTTCTTTCTTTCTTTCTTTCTTTGTACGTATGTAGGCCGTCTCTGATATTTGTTTTTCTTCGTTGCATCCTCGCAATCAAAACAGAATGGTTCATTATTTATCTGAAGTAATGACAGCGTGTAAAGCACGTGCTAACAATGTATAATAATAATAATAATAAAAGCAATAACAGCAACAGCAATAATAATAATAATAATAATAATAATAATAATACGATCGGCAGCGCTAAGGAAAAAAAAGGAACGAATTGAGAAGAAAGAAAAAGATAGTAAAAAGCATATAAAGAGATAAAAGAAAGATGTCGGTTGAGAGCAAAAATAGGGTTTTTACATCCCTTAATATATTTGAGGTCGAGTTTGTCAACAAAAAATCGACGCTGAATACATCTCAGTAACCAAGCGTGACTAATATACGGGCGAGCTGAAATCTGCCGCCTCAAATATAATGGATGGACATTCTTGACACAAAAATGTGTCTTTATAGATTTGCAACAATTTCTTCTTCTTCTTCTTCTTCTTCTTCTTCTTCTTCTTCTTCTTCTTCTTCTCCCCCCTTTATTCATTATAATATGGTTTTATATATGTTTGTCCTTTCTTTCTTTCTTTCTTTCTTTCTTCTTTCGTTCGTTTTCTTTTTTCTTTTTCTTTCTTTCTTTCGTTCGTTCGTTCGTTCTTCCTTCCTTTCTTTCTTTCTTTCTTTCGTTCTTTCTTTCTTTCTTTCTTCCTTCCTTCCTTCCTTTCTTTCTTTCTTTCTTTCTAACGATAGATGCCACCTCCTTTCTTTCTTTTCGATAGTGTTGTCTTTCTTCATTTTTTGTTCTTTTTTCTATATATCATTGTCTTTATCTCCCTCTTTCTTTCTTTCTTTTTTCTTTCTTTCTTTCTTTCTTTCTTTCTTTCTTTCTTTCTTTCTTTCTTTCTTTCTTTCTAACAGATTACGATCTTTTCTTCCTTCTTTCTTTTTCCCATACATTATTGTCTTTCTTCCTTTCCTTCTAATACATTATTGTCTTTTTTCTCATATTACTCACTCCCTCTCCTCTTTCTATTCCTCTTCATGCTGATTTCTCTTTCTCCTCTTCTTTATTCTTCCACTCCTCCCTCTTCTTTCTTTTTCTCCTCCCCCTCCTTACTACTTCCGTTTCTTTTACTCGCATCCTTCTTACACAGTCTTTATAAAAGCCTGATAAATTAGTGACAGACATTTCTCTGTCATCTGTCATCTGTGATGTCGGGAGCAAAGAAAGAAAGAAAAATAGAGGGACGATATTGTTACTCGCTCTAGACTACTGAAGGAATCCATTTTGCGAACAGGCCATACAATCGTTTATACGATGACGCACCCGTCAACGTATTAGAAGTAAAGATACATATTTCTATTTATAGTTTAAATCCTGTTATCACAGCAAATAAAGAATTGAATCTCAATAAGCGCTTGCTACTGTTATTTTTCAATCATTTAGTAACTTGCTTAGTTTCTGAATATAATCTTTATATTCGTTGTTGGATTTAAAGTGTCCAAATGGCTAGCCACGAGAAATTGGGATAATGGTTGGTTAGCTGATCAAGTTGACAATTAATATTCAGTCTTCTAGTCAGTTTGTGTCCAATACTTGTGGTCTTGTGCCAAATTAAATTAGGCATAGTATTAAGAGGGCCAAGGCAGCACCCAAACCCGGACAGACTCCTGATTGTCCCGAATGTCAAGGAGAAATATATGGATGGTGTTGAAATTAGATACAATGGACAAAATGAAGACGGAACTACGAAATAGGAAGCATTAACAGAAGCTTTGGTAACAACAGCAATCGAGATCATCCCGAAGAAAAATAGACAATGGTAAAAAAGGGTTTGGGTTATACAAATCTTAAAATCCGAAAATCGAAATACGAGATTTATAAAATCCCGAAAGATCATAATCCCGAAATAGGTAGATAAGAACAGACATAGATAGATAGATAGATAGATAGATAGATAGAAACAGAATGAGATAGATAGATAGATAGATAGATAATGAATAGATAGATAGATAGATAGATATGAAAAGATTTGGATAGATAGATAGATAGATAGATAGATAGAAACAGAATGAGATAGAGAAAATATGAACAAAATGAGATAGATAAATAGATAGATAGAAACAGAATGAGATAGATAGATAGATAGATAGATAGATAGATAGATGAATAGAATATGAACAGAAATGGATAGATACATATGCACACGGTGAGATAGATAGATAGATAGATAGATAGATAGATAGATAGATAGATAGATAGATAAAACAGAATTATATATATATATATATATATATATATATATATATATATATATATATATATATATAAAGAAAGAACAGTAAGATATAAAATCCGGTGTTCTTATAGATATTTTTATTTTTACAAAATAGTGCTCAATGTAAATTTACAGAGCATTAATATTATAAATTAATTGATTTAAAATATGTTTTTTTTTCTACACAGTTCCAACCATGTTTCAAAAATAGAAGCTAAAAACCCGAATTTAATTTTGCAATTAAATTAAAAGCATTAGTTCCATTTCATCTTCGAGCGAATTTTGGAGTAACTTTTTAAAAATTACCGGGTTTTAAAGACACAGCTAAAATCACGTTTCCATGTTTACAGAATATTCTACTTAAATTGAACTATATATATATATATATATATATATATATATATATAGAGAGAGAGAGAGAGAGATAGAGATAGATAGATAGATAGATAGATATAGATAGAAACAGAATGAGATAGATAGATAAATAGATAGATAGAAACAGAATGATATATATATATATATATATATATAGAGAGAGAGAGAGAGAGAGATAGATAGATAGATAGATAGATAGAAACAGAATGAGATAGAGAAAATATGAACAAAATGAGATAGATAAATAGATAGATAGAAACAGAATGAGATAGATAGATAGATAGATAGATATGAACAGAAATGGATAGATACATATGCACACGGTGAGATAGATAGATAGATAGATAGATCGATCGATCGATAGGATCAGAATATATATATACATACATATATATATATATATATATATATATATATATATATATATATATATATATATATAGGTAGATAGATAGATAGATATGAACAGAAATGGATAGATGATATGCATACACTGAGATAGATAGATAGATAGATAGATAGATAGATAGATAGATAAATAAATAAATAAATAAAGGCGTTGGTTATATCCAGTGACAGGACCCAAAGAGTATGAGTTCAATACCCGGTTAAGGCAGTGGAGAACTTTCAGAGGGAAATTAACAGGAGATAACTGATAACTGACATCCATTAAACATGGCACGTGGAACTAGAACAATCTACCCCAGTGAGCGAAATAAAGTGTTCAGTTCGACATTCCAACCACCTGAAGAAGGCCGGAGCGTACAACGACCGAAACGTTGTAATAAGCATGGCGACAAAGATGAGGACAATAGTCCGAATAATATAAATAATGTACATAATACCTCATTTCAGAAATATAGATACTGAAGGATCGGTACGGACCCGATATACCAAAAATATGGAGACAAATTGAAAAATCCTACCAGAAACTGGCACCAATATCGAACCATCTGACATTCCTACACCGATGCAGAGATCTACAACTCAGCCCTTCATGCTTGGCACCGAGACTTTCCGTCAATTCAAGGAGATCCCGTCTGGTTGCAGAGAAAGCAGGACACGCCCTTGTTCGAGAGAGAATCCAGTACAATCGTTGGATAAAACTTCGACTACAAGCTCATATCTCTCAGACGCTGGAGGATTTCTTCAATAGAATTACTAATGAAGAAGACCAGAGAAGGATCTAAAATGACCTGGATAAATCCTTCAGACATGAATTCGATGTAGTCAAAGCTCACAAAGTACAAAAATTAAATAGATTGAACGATCAGAAGGTGACGCACAAGGTCCATCACCCACCAGTTAAAGCAGTAGTCAACATCAGCCAATATCAGCTGAGTGCCTCTGAGGAGTCAATATTGAATAAAGGTCTCAACTTCGCCACAAACATCAGGCGAGTGCCATACTTGGACATCATTGCTAGAGTCGAGAAGGTGGCATTGAATTTCCCTCAGGCTCAAGCGGATGAACTGAGATGGAAGGTGAGAGACCTTGGAGAAGGCCAAGCCTCCCAGGTCTAATATAACAAAACTGGAGAATCTGGCGATTGGATCCCTACAGAGGAACGAAACCATCATCATACTACCGGCTGACAAAGGCAATGTGACTGTAGTGATGGACAAATCGGAGTATACAAGAAAACTGGAAGACCTCATTAGCAATGGTAGCTACAGCAAAGTGAAAACGGATCCTAGTATGAAAATGGAACGCAAACTGTCACAGATCCTAATCAAGAACAAGGATCACTTCGGACCTCAGACGTATAAGCAGTTATCGCAGCGTTACACCAAGCTACCTCAGATATACAGTCTCCCTAAGATTCACAAAGACGATATTCCGCTCAGGTCGATTGTTAGTTTCCAAGGCTCTGTGTGCCACCCTCTGAGTAGATATAATCCTTGTAGATATAATTGACCCACTGATCGGAAAGTCTCCTTCATACGTCCGAAACTCCGCCCACTTCGTGGAAATAATCAAAGATGCTTCCATCCTGTCCAGCCAGATGGTGAGCTTGGACGTAGCACCCTCAGTATTCAGAGACAGCTGACTCATCCCTAGAAGAACGGACCAGTATTCCAATAGAGAATCTGATGGAGATGTCGACTTTCTGTACACAAACAATATACTTCGGAATGGGATCCCACATATATCGACAGGATGAGGGCTTATCAATGGGCTCACTATTATCACCAGCAAGTCTATTCAGAGATCCAGTTATATGAAGAAGCCCGGAGCGTAGAACGGTCGAAACGCTGTGAATATGGCAATGAAGATGAGGATAACAGTCCGAATGATGTAAATAATATGCCATCATAATACCTCATCTCAGAGATATAGAGGCCGAAATGTTGTGAGTGCGGCAATGAAGATGAGGATAACAGTCGGAATGATGCAAATAATGCAAGTAATCGTAATACGTCATCTCAGAGATATAGAGGCCGTAACATTGGGAGTAGAGGCCGAAACGTTGTGAATATGGCAATGAAGATGAGTATAACAGTCTGAATAATGTAAATAATGCAAGTAATCGTAATACCTCATCTCAGAGATATAGAGGCCATAACATTGTGAATATAGCTATTCTGGCAGCAAACCACCTGCATAAGGATAGGAAATGAATTCAGTAAATACAGAAAAATAAAAAGGCTTGTAAGACAAAGATGGGACTTCTCACCAGACGGTTACAACCTATACACCGAGGTCATTCTGAGAGAATTAGAAGTCCGACCAGGGTTTATTATTGCCGGCCATATTCTTAACAACATGTGGCATGCAGATAACACAGAACCCCTACAGAAGGTAGTGGAGGAAAGCAAAAAGAAAGGAGTAAAACTCTATTGCAAGAAGACGGAATACATGGTTGCTAGCAAAAGGGGCAGCCCAACATGCAAATTACAAATTGGGGATACCGGAAGTAAGCAGGAAGAACAATTTTAAATATCTGGGAAGCGTTTTAACAGAGGCCGAAAAATGCGACACAGAAATCCGAAGTCGCATTGCAATAACGTAAGATGCCTTCCAAAATCTAAGCAAAGTATTAAGAAACAGAAAAAAAAATCTTATTAGAATCAAAGAAAAGACTACCGAACTGTTGCTTAATATCAGTCTTCGTATATGGTAATGAATTCTGGACAATCTCCTCACAGAAGAAGATGAGACTAGAAGAAACAGAAATGTGGTTCTACAGGAGGATGCTGAGAATACCATGTGCAAAATATGTGAGCAGCGACGAAATTCTATAGACAATTGCAATAAGAATGACACTTATACTTAATATCAAGAAAAGACTGTAGAAATTTCCGAGAACATAATGAGGAAAGACGGCTTGGAAAATTTGATACTCACAGCACAGAGTGAAGTTAAGAGAGGCAGAATAAAGCAATGCATAACT